AAGTTTCTTCATCTTTTAAAAAGCTATGGAGAAAATGACTCTATATGTAGCACTAGTCATGTCCCTTTAGATGGAAGGAAATATTTAAATGAATTTTGTTAGCATAATTATTTTGAAGATGTGATGGCAAATCCAGCTAAAGCCATGAGTGTAAACTTTGTTTGGGTATTATTTTAATATTTATAGTAATTGTTCCTACCTGATTTGAAAAAAATTGAGTTTCTGTTTAATTTAAACATCTTAATCATAGGTGAGGAGATCTTTAAATATGTTAAAATGATAAAATTCAGTCCAAGAGAAGGGTGTGAATAACAGTTGAAGAATTTTGTGAGATGTCAGAAAAATTTAGTAACATTTAACTTAAATCTAAGGCTGTAGGCTACAAAGACTGTGAGATCAACTCTGTGTTTAAATTATGAATTCCCTACCATAAAAAATATGTATTAGAGTCCTTGAGAAAAATGTAGGAATGTCCTGGCTGAGATGTCTGACAATAATAAAAGCTTGACCAGCTAAAACGATATTACCAAAAATGTCTTGGGATGATGCAACTGTTTCAAGAATGGGTAGGCAACTTTTAACCCTAGGGAGATTAAGAACTAAGTATAAAAATATTTGAGAATCAAATTTATGGTATGAATGATTTTATGGTAAAGAGGCAGTACACATTTTTAAATATACTTGTTACTTAGCCCATTACAGTAACATGTCAGTCTTCTGATTCCATTTTAAAAGTAATAATTATGTAATTAATTTTTTCTTGTGATTGTTAAATAGAAATCTTACCAAATTTATATACATTGCATGAATATTTATGAAAACATAAGACTCACCGTATTTGTACATATAACTTATTAGATTTAGAAAGGTTACTTTAAGTACTAGGAAACTTTTGTGAGATAAGTGAAATGTGTAAAGTAAATAGAATATTTCAGGGTATTTAACTAGGTTTATAAATGCAACCAAATATAATTTCAAACTCTTAAAAATAATTTTTGGTTGGATGTTAGACATTGTGAATATAATGTTAAGTGCTTGACTTTTTTCCTTAGAGTATTTGTTCTGCTTTTTGCTTTTTTAAAAGATTGAAGTATAGTTAATTTACAATGTTGTGTTAGTTTCAAGTGTACTACAGCAAAGTGATTGTTACACATATACATACATACATACATATATATATATATATATATATATATATACGTTTTTCAGATTCTTTTCTATTATAGGTTATTACAAGATATTGAGTATAGTTTCCAGTGCTATACAGTAGGTCTTTGTTTTTTATCTGTTTTATATATAATAGTGTGTATATGTTAATCCCAAACTCCTAATTTATCTCTCCCCCCTCCCCCCACCCCTCCCTCCTCCATTCCCTTTGGTAACCATAAGTTTGTTTCCTGTGTCTGTGAGTCTATTTATGTTTTGTAAATAAGTTCATTTGTATCATTTTTTTTAGATTCCACATATAAGTGATATAGTATGATATTTGTCTTTCTCTGACTTACTTCACTTAGTATAATAATCTCTAGATCCATCCATGTTGCTGCACATGACATTATTTCATTCTTTTTTATGGTTGAGTAATATTCCATTGCATATCTTCTTTATCCATTCATCTGTTGATGGACATTTAGGTTGATTCCATATCTTGGCTATTGTAAATAGTGCTGCAATGAACATTGAGGGTGCATGTACCTGTTCGAATTATGGTTTTCTCTGGATATATGCCCAGGAGTAGGATTGCTGGATCATGTGGTAACTCTATTTTTAGTTTTTTAAGGAACCTCCATACTGTTCTCCATAGTGGCTGTACCAATTTACATTCCCACCAACAGTGTAGGAGGGTTCCTTTTTCTCCACACCCTCTCCAGCATTTATTATTTGTAGACTTTTTAATGATGGCCATTCTGACTGGTGTGAGGTGATAACTCATTGTAGTTTTGATTTGCATTTCTCTAATAATTAGCGATGTTGGGCATCTTTTCATGTGCCTGTTGACCATTTGTATGTCTTCTTTGGAGAAATGTTTATTTAGGTCTTCTAACCATATTTTGATTGGGTTGTTTGGTTTTTGGATATTAAGCTATACAAGCTGTTTGTATATTTTGGAAATTAATCCCTTGTCAGTCGCATCATTTGCAAATATTTTCTCCCATTCTGTGGGTTGTCTTTTTGTTTTGTTTATGGTTTCCTTTGCTGTGCAAAACCTTTTAAGTTTAATAGGTCCCATTTGTTTATTTTTGTTTCTGTTTCCATTACTCTAGGAGACAGATCCAAAAAAATATTGCTGCAATTTATGTCAAAGAGTGTTTTGCCTACATTTTCCTCTAGGAGATTTATAGTATCCAGTCTTACATTTAGGTCTTTAATCCATTTGAGTTTGTTTTTGTATTTGGTGTTAGAGAATGTTCTAATTTCATTCTTTTACATGTAGCTGTCCAGTTTTCCCAGCACCACTTATTGAAGAGACTGTCTCTTCTCTATTGTATGTTCTTGCCTCCTTTGTTGTAAATTAATTGACCATAAAGTGCGTGGTTTTATTTCTGGGCTTTCTATTCTGTTCCATTGATCTATACATCTGTTTTTATGCTGGAACCATACTTTTTTGATTACTGTAGCTTTGTAGTATAGTCTGAAGTCAGGGAGTGTGATTCTTCCAGCTTCGTTCTTCTTTCTCAGGATTGCTTTGGCTATTTGGGGTCTTTTGTGTTTCCATACAAATTTAAAAAATTTTTGTTCTAGTTCTGTGGAAAATGCTATTGGTAATTTGATAGGGATTGTGTTGAATCTGTAGATTGCCTTGGGTGGCATGGTCATTTTAACGGTATTGATTCTTCCAATCCAAGAACACAGTATATCTTTCTATCTGTTTGTGTCGTCTTCAGTTTCTTTCATCAGCATCTTATAGTTTTCATGGACTTTGTTCTTGTAGGCAGCTGTTTGTGGATTAGTTGAGCCTTACAGGGCTTGGTTTTAAGCTTCACTGGACTAGATCTAGCTGTGATCATATAGTGGCTAGTACTCTGCATTGTGGAATAGATCTAGAGTAGACATTACACTAGGGCTAGCCCTACTACTAAGAAGTGTCCCTTCTCTGGTCTCCACTGAATGATCTCAGTTTTCAAAGAGGCACTTCTATCTAGGGGGTTAGATCTCAAATGACTTCTAGCCCTTTGTACACTCTGGGAATTTTTTTACTTTACAACTCCCCAGTTGTCTTGGCTTAGTCTTGTGGAATTCACCTTATGCATGCATGGCTTGGTATTCAGTTTGCAAGCTCCCTCTCTAATAGCTTCCTCTTCTCCAGTATTCTTCCCTGTAAATTCCTGCT